TTACAGGTACATACTCCTAAGTTAGGTTTTCAATCTTGTCTGCCTGTTAAGCTAGGTTACAGGTCATCCACAAGGACTCAAATATAGAAGTACAGAGTTATTCTCAGGCTGTATTTAGTTTGTTTTAACAGAGAATTAGTATGGCCAGCATATCCCTCTTTTTTCTTTTTTTTTTTTTTTTTTGAGACAGAGTCTCACTTTGTCACCAGGCCAGGCTGGAGTGCAGTGGCATGATCTAGGCTCACTGCAACCTCCACCTCCTGGGTTCAAGCAATTCTCCTGTCTCAGCCTCCTGGGTAGCTGGGACTACAGGCACATGCCACAATGCCCAGTTAATTTTTTTTGTATTTTTAGTAGAGACAGGGTTTCACCATGTTGGCCAGGATGGTCTCAATCTCTTGACCTCGTGATCCGCCCACCTCAGCCTCCCAAAGTGCTGGGATTACAGGCTTGAGCCACCGTGCCCAGCCATCCCCCTTCTTAATGTGTCCCCTGATTTCCAAGGCTATTACAGTGACAACACAAGTCTAACAGTGACCAAGTGGCAATATTTTGTAAAGTTCTCAAAGTTTCACGTTCTTCATTGCAGCCAAGTCTGGCCTCTAATCAATGATAATGAATCAAACAAGAAAACTAGGGAAAAGATGCTCAAGCCGCAAGGCCTTAGGAGTAAGCATTTTCTGTAACTTCTGATATGTTCACTCTTATTACCATCTTCTTTTCTACACACTGTCCCTTGGAGAGTTGGCTATAAGCCTTATTTTATGCTCCATATCCTTTATTTAAGATATTCTAACCATCCCACAAAACTATTCAATCTTAAAATTCAAGCTGAAAGTATAATCTTTCTACCTCTCCTTTGGAGTCTTCTTTCATCAATTTAAACCACCAAGCTCATGTATCTAAAGAGAGAAAGAAAAGGAGAATTGGAACAAGAGGTTCTAAATTTTTACTGTTATCTAAAATAATGAAAAACTGAAGCCAAAAATGTTGGCTGGTAGTTGGTGGTAAGCTGCTTTTTTTCCCCTTGATTTGCATTTAATATAATTATATTCATATAGGTAGCATGCTAAGAGCTACATGCTTTACAAAGATTTCAAGAGTTCTAAAAAGTTTTACTATTATTATTCATGCTTTATGGATGGAAAAACAGAGGACCAGAAAAGCTAAGTAACTTTCTCCAATTAATATATCTAGGACATTGGAATTTGCACCCAATCTCTTCTAGAGTCAAAGCACTTAATCTCTCTGTCATAGAGCTGACTAAACTCTCAACTTCATTACCCTTCTCTCATCTCTGTATTTTTATATGAATCAAATAAGAAAACATGAAAGCCCATCACCTAATACTTAGCACATAGTAGGCAATCACTAAATTGTAGTTAATTTAATCATATATAAATACATCCTAAAGATTTAGATATTTAAGTACTGCTTTCTCATTAAATTATCTCGGTGATGATTGCAAAGTCTGTAACTTCATTTCCCACAGAATTCGCTTTTCCTAATTAGTGAGTAGGGCAAGCTAATGTCATTGCTTAGAAGTCCCCAAGAACATAAAGCCTATATAACACAGGTAGAACAACAGCAACACTACAGCTGCCAGTGGCAGCTGCTTCTTTCTCTACAGATTTTTCTTTAGTACTTGAAGGTAGAATAATCTACCTGAAACTAACAATACAAAACTTGCACCTAAACAGTGTGCTGCAAAGGAAATAGGATGCTTCAGCCACACTGGTTTTCTGAATAATTAGGTCAAGTTTTGTGTTAGGAGTGTCTTAATAAACGTGCAGAGCCGCAAAAGTGGCTGATTGTGATTGTGGCTTCTTTAGTTTTTTTTCTTTTTAGGACAGGGTTATTCTGTTACTCAGGATGGAGTACAGTGGCAAAATCGTGGCTCACTGCAGCCTTGACATCCTGGATTCAAGAAATCCTCCTGCGTCAGCCTCCTGAGCAGCTGGAACCACAAGTGTAAGCCAACATGCCCAGCTAATTTTTTGTATTTTTTGCAGAGATGGGGTTTTGCCATGTTGCCCAGGCTTGATTGCGGCTTTTAATCCACTCTACTCACAACTACAATCTGGAAAAGTGAAAAAAAATTATTTCTATACTACATCTTCTGTTAACTAGAAACCAATCCTAGAAAATCTTGCTGCAGAGTTTCATACTTTGAAATACTGAAAGATATGATAATAATATAGGTACAATGGTGTGATTTTTATAGACCGCCAGTAATAGTACCTTTTACCGGAAAATATTACCAAATACGTCTATTGTGACTTATCACCAAAATTGTGAACAAGACCTAAGGAAGGAACTTCAGGGGCTCTCACCTTATGGAAAAAGCAAGGTAAATGGGGTTATCTGACTTGTCCAACTTCAAATAAGTTGTTATTTCTACTGGAAGATAAAACTCTTGATATTGAAAGTACAGGACTGACACTTCTGTTACTTCTGGAGGTACTAAAAGCATCAGAAACAACCCAGATGACTTTCACAGATATTTTAGTTGGATTTGGATTTTATTTTTCTTCTTAATCATCTTTCCCCATTTCCCTTAAATGCATGCAGTAAACATTAGGTTTTCTTCTTGGGCACCATAATCTTTCTACTGCAGTTGAACACAGCCCCATTTTTCAAAGCATTTTTTCCTGTGGCTCCACAGAAATAGAAAAAAAATGGTAATGATGGAAAAGTTTAGTTTAAAATGCATATTCGTATTCTATGGGAAGAGAATAGACGTCTTCATTTCAAACCTAGTTATTGATCTGCACACCCTTTTCAGTCTGTGCAGGTAAAATTTCCATACTGAATAAAATCCTAGCCCCATTCTTGGCCAGTTCTTCAACTTTGAATTTTGCAACCATGAAAACAGGTGTAAATCAGTAACACTTAAAATCACTTCTTGGAGCAAAAGCTTTAAATAAAAAAAAACTGCTAAGAAAAATTTTCTAAGCAGTAAATTAATCTATAGCTACATTTAGATGCTGCTGTAAATATTAATCCAACAGTGGACACAGTGAGTTTAATTTTTAAGTGTTAACTGAAAGACTTCTCTGCCCCAAATATATCTGCTTTACCACAGAACTGCTTTTCCAGTTCCTTGATTTGACACTACTATTAGTCATTCCTCTGACTTGGACAACAGAAAAGGCTGTTATCTCAGAAGGCCAGCATGATAAGGTATAGGAGATATCTGAGGAGAAAGAGAGAGCTAGGAGCAGATGAAGAGCCTTCTCTAGCCTATTTTCACAAGCAGTGTGGTGTTGATTAATTAGTCTGCCAGGGAGCCTGATCTTGAGGGATGATATAAATCACGGGTACTCACTGGTGATGGGAAGGAAATAACAAGGATCATGGGGACCAAGCAACCAAGAGACACAGCTTCCTTCAGTGGGCAACCTTTGGAAGATTGTGTGCTTCAGTCAGGGCAGCAGCATGAAGGAGGAAAGCTAGAAAAGAGAGGCACCTCATAGTCCTCCCCACAATCTGGCCCACAATCTGGCTCAGGACATCAAAGAGAGGAAGAGAGTCCACTAAGACATATTCTGCTTCACTCCCTGATTCTACCAACCACCACAAAAATTCAGATAAGAGTGGTGGTAGAGCAGAGAAAGCCTGGACCAAGAGTCGGGAGACCTGAGCTCTAGACCTAGTTGTGACTCCAGTTCCATGTAAGCTTGAACCAGTTGATTTGCCTCACTGTGCCTCATTTTCTCTATTTGTAAAATGAAAAAAAAAATACGTCAACTCTCAAGTCCCTTTAAGAGCTAAAATCCCATGACATATACTTGTTATTTTAAAAAAACAGTGGTGCTTAAGTCATAGGCTAATTTAAAAGAAAATAAAACAACTATTTTCGTTTCACTTGTGGGGCGGTAAGTCAGACAACAGAATGGGACTTTGAAAAGAGCCAGAGTAATCTAATCAAGATGGTATAGGCTTGGATCTTGATCTCCAGTTTAAGAATAAGTCTGTCATCAGCTGAGAGGTGGAGGAGAGGTGAACTTCCACATTTTCCAAGGTTTCCAGGGTTTTTATCCTGCCTTCTCTAAATAATTGTTCAAGAATATCACAGCCACATGCCAATTGTCCAGGAGCTTGATGCAAAGCTTCTGCCCTCTAAAAGTTATATTGTGGAAATTACAGTCTCAGAGTCCCATGGTAAAGCCAACAATAGAGCAAGTAGTTTGGGTTAATGAAAAGTGCAGTCTACAGGACGATTAAAAAAAAAAAAAAAAAAACTATGTTCAGGGGCCAGATTTGTGTAGCCTCAAACAAATTATGTATTTAGGTTAAAGAGAATCTTAACTTCTCATCCTGAAAAAAATCCATAACCTAAATCTAAGCATTGATATCAGGGAGAAATAACATGTTTTCTCTCTCTCTCTCTCTCTCTCTCTCTCTCTCTCTCCTCTCTCTCTCTCTCTCTCTGCAAGATTGTTTTATATCTCTTAATGAATGAAAATTCTCTATTATTCCAAAAGTGTATCTTAAGCACCTACCATGAGTGTATCATGATATAAGATGTTAATGAGGATTTTCAAAAGAAATGTAAGATGGCTGGGCACGGTGGCTCACACCTATAATCCCAGCACTTTGGGAGGCCAAGGTGGCCAGATCACCTGAGGTTGGGAGTTTGAGACCATCCTGACCAAAATGGAGAAACCTGTTCTCTACTAAAAATACAAAATTATCCAGGCACAGTGGCACATGCCTGTAATCCCAGCTACTCAGGAGGCTGAGATAGGAGAATCCCTTGAACCCAGGAGGCGGAGGTTGCAGTGAGCCGAGATCACACCAATGCACTTCAACCTGGGCAACAAGAGTGAAACTCCGTCTCAAAAAAAAAAAAGAAAGAAATCAAGGTATTTTACCATAAATTCTAGAGAGAAAAGACATAAATACACAAGAAATTAAACGACCAAATGATTGATACAGATATTAAATGTTACATTGAATTATTTTTCTAATTCTTTACAGGTTGTCTAACAAACAGAATGGAAGAGGTTGTCTTACTCAATCAAACTTCTTTAGTGACGTATTTTCAGCTTAGAGGTTTATCTGTAAATCAGAAGGCACAGATAGCTGTGTTTTCCATGTTTCTCATTTTCTATGTCTTGACCCTGATTGGGAACATTCTCATTGTCATAACTATTATCTATGACCACCGGCTCCATACCCCCATGTATTTCTTCCTCAGCAACCTGTCTTTTATTGATGTCTGCCACTCCACTGTCACTGTCCCAAAGATGCTGACAGACACCTGGTCAGAGGAAAAGCTCATCTCTTTTGATGCCTGTGTGACCCAGATGTTCTTCCTGCACCTCTTTGCCTGCACAGAGATCTTCCTCCTCACTGTCATGGCCTATGATCGGTATGTGGCTATTTGTAAGCCCCTGCAGTACATGATAGTGATGAACTGGAAGGTATGCGTGCTGCTGACTGTGACCCTCTGGACTGGAGGAACCATCCATTCCATAGCCCTCACCTCCCTCACCATCAGGCTGCCTTACTGTGGTCCCAATGAGATTGACAACTTCTTCTGTGATGTACCTCAGGTGATCAAGCTGGCCTGCACTGACACTCACATAATTGAGATCCTCATTGTCTCCAACAGTGGACTGATCTCCATGGTCTGTTTTGTGGTCCTGGTGGTGTCCTATACAGTCATCCTGGTGAGTCTGAGGCAGCGGATCTCCAAGGGCAGGCGGAAGCCCCTGTCCACCTGTGCAGCCCACCTCACCGTAGTTACACTATTCCTGGGACACTGCATCTTCATCTATTCCCGTCCATCCACCAGCCTCCCAGAGGACAAGGTGGTATCTGTGTTTTTCACTGTAGTCACCCCCCTACTGAACCCCATTATCTATACCCTTAGGAATGAAGAAATGAAGAATGCCTTGAACAACTTAGTGGGTAGAAAGGAGAAAAAAGAAGAAAAATGAAAATGTCTACATCCTTAGGATGGTTGGTGCTGCAAATCAAAGAAATGCCTTACAAAGAATAAGCTATATACCATATTTATCAGACTATGTGACTTATAAAATTACCCTTGGTCTAATATCTGACAGTCACAGTAATCACTATGGTTATTAATATCTTCTCTGTGCTGGAAACTGTTCTAGTCACTTTGCAGTTACTTACTTCTCACAACTTTGAAAGGTAGGTCTTATTGTGCTTGTTTGCACATGAAGAAATTAAAGCTTGAAGAGAGCAAATAACATGCCCAAAGTCACTCAGCTAGACAACAATGATGGCAGCGTGTAAACCCAAGTGTGTCAAGCTGTTTTCACTACATCATGCTGTGTCTTTCTGCTTTTCTGTTGGAGTGATAACCAAGGTCTAAACAAACCTTCAGATTTCTGAGCAGCCCTTGCCTACATCATTCACTCAGGTGCTTATCAAAACAGCTAAGCAAACACTAGTGAAGCAGATGAAGTGAGTTTCCACAAACTTTGGTGACAGAGAAGGAAGACTGAACAGGTGAAGTTATTGACACTCTCAAGTATCCAGGCAAAATCTGCCATCAGAGCAATGAAATGGGGATATCTTACTATTCATTCATTTGACAAATATTTACTGAGCACCTATTATGTACCAGATACTAGGTTTATACCCGTAAAAAAGACATACACACAGTCCTGCTTTCATGGAATTTAAGATCTAGTGAAAATAGAAAACAAAAATATGAACAAATAAATTTTAACTATAGATTTTGATAAATGCTGTAAAACAGCAGGGTGCAATTGGAGAGAAAGGAAGAGACTTGCTTTAGTGGTCAAAGATGGCCTCTCTGAGGAAGTTATATTTCAGCTAAGATGAGAACGATGAAAAGGAGCCAACCATGAGAAAAGAAAGGTGATGAACATTCTAGGCAGGAAAAATGGCCAGTGCAAAGATCTATGCTGGGAAAGACCTTGGCTTGTTCAAGGAAGTAAATGATCAGTGTGATTACAGCTTAGACTATAAGGCAGAGAACGGCAACAGAGTGATATCAGAGAGCTAAAAAGAATCTTTCCATGTTCTCTCAAGAAGTTTGGAGTCTTTTCCAATACAATAAGAAGCCACCAGAATAATTTAAGCACAGGTGTGGCATTAAATAATTTATGTCTCAATAAAATTATTTTAGTTAATATGTAGAGAATTCACTCAACTAAGCAATAGCATCCAATATTGTTCTTAGAGCAATAAAGGATGACTATTAAGTATTTAGTAATAAATACTTAGAAAACAACTTGATAGAAAACACCAAGTTGGGTAAACCATGGTCTATAAACCAATATCTTAAATCTCATTATGGTGGCACATAGTGTCCCAGAATGGAATGCGGTGAGTGAACTGGAATATGAAGAGGATATCCCAGATAATGGTATCTCATATTCATGCATACAAAAGAGCATGGCACACTAAGGATCATCAGTTCATTCTGACTTCATCACTGAGAAAGGCATACTTAAATGCAGCTTGGATTTCCTAGGCACTAGTGAATATATGATCAATAAGTTTGTGAGCCAAAAGACCTTTATCATGATTTTTAGGAGGAAAATTTTTATTTGCCAGAAAATGTGTTCAGAAGGATATTCAAGTGATACAAGCCATTTCAGTTATAGAGAGGCATTATTATAAAGGTATTCTGTAGGGCTTTCTGGGTATCATAAGTTAACTTCCAACAGACAAATCTAATAATTAATAGAGTAGTTTATTCCACAAAGATAACTCCCTGGAGGGTATAAAATGATATTTATTTGAACATGTTGGTGAAATAATTGAGCTGAATTTAAGAATTACAAAATTTACATAAAATAAATGCCCTTTTATTATTGGCAATGGCAGACAATAAAGAGAAATATATAAATATCTTTCCAATAAGCCCAAATAGAACGACTTATGCAGGAGTCAGTCATACAAAGGAAAACGTGCAAAATTGTCATATTGTCTGTCAACAAGACAATGCTTCAAGGTAGTCGTTAAGATTGTAGCTGGTAAAACTATAACAGAACAATGATGTGATGTTTGCGTACTTTTTTCATAGTAGCAAAATTTCTGACACTACCCATTTTCAATCACACTAATCTTTACAACTCTCTGAGAAGGTAAAAATAAAACATTTAGACTCCATTTTACAGAAAAAAATGTTTTCAGAGTGAGAGACAAGATAAAAATATATTTAATTACTCACTAAAGAGTCTTAAAGAATGAAAATAAAAGATCTTGACTCTTGGCTCTGTGGTTTACTTTAGCAAGGAGAGAATAATCTTTATTTATTTATTTATTTATTTATTTATTTATGTTTTTTGAGACGGAGTTTCGCTCTCGTTACCCAGGCTGGAGTGCAATGGCGTGATCTCGGCTCACCGCAACCTCCGCCTCCTGGGTTCAGGCAATTCTCCTGCCTCAGCCTCCCAAGTAGCTGGGATTACGCTCACGCGCCACCATGCCCAGTTAATTTTCTGTATTTTTATTAGAGATAGGGTTTCACCATGTTGACCACGATGGTCTCGATCTGTTGACCTCGTGATCCACCTGCCTCGGCCTCCAACAGTGCTGGGATTACAGGCTTGTGCAACCACGCCCGGCCCTTTATTTATTAATATACGAACTTGTTCAGCAACTTTGTATTCAACAACTGAATTCTTCATGTTACAACCATGTTCTACACAGTAAAGTGATGAATAGTGCCATAATATAAATAAATAAATAAGACAGTAGGGATTTATTTCTGCATAACAGACACTCACACCTGTAATCTCAGCACTTTGGGAGGCTAAGGCAGGTAGAACACCTGAGGTCAGGAGTTCAAGACCAGTCTGACCAACGTGAAGAAACCCCATCTCTACTAAAAATACAAAAAATTAGCCAAGTGTGGTGGCACATGCCTGTAATCCCAGCTACTTGGGAGGCTGAGACAGGAGAATCACTTGAACCCGGGAGGCAGAGGTTGTGGTGAGCCAAGATTGCGCTACTGCACTCCAGCCTGGGCAACAAGAGCGAAACTCCGTCTCAAAAAAAAAAAAAGATACTGAGTATGAATACCCATGCACATAAAGGTCCAGAAACTAGGGGCATAATTAGAACATTTTTCCAAGTTTTTAATATGTACATAGTAGTAATATCTGGACTTAATTCATCATAGATATATAAAATACCTATTATGACTCAAGTTTTATATGAGAACTGCAGGGGGCTGACAATATTCTACCCTTGTTTGTCAACTTGAAGTAATGATATTTAGATATTTTCATGAACACCTCCCAGTTTAATTAATGGACTGCTTCTGATGCTTTGTCCTTGATTGCTAAAAAGTAATCATGTATTACCCTTTAGTTAGAGTTAGTGGATCACTCACTCTGTTCTGTGTATGTCTGTTGTGTGTGGCTGGCCATGTTGTCTGCTCTCCAGTCCTCCAGAATACTCAAGCATTATTTCTATAAGCTGACAGATCATCCGGAAAAATAGTGACAAAGACCCCAACCAATTCTAAATTATTTTCAGAATAAGCAAAGAAAGCTATTTATACTTAACATTTTTATTACTAACCATATTTCACTTCATTCCATTAGCTCTATTAAAGTTGATATTGTATGGTAGCTCTCTGATCATCTATAAGATCTTCATTTACAGGTAATCCTACTCATGTCAGCCACAGAATATCATCATCATTACCTGAGAAATTTGTCATGGATCCCTCTTCATATGGACATTCCACAATAAACCAATATACTTCAGCCCAATGAGTGATATTAGTTAACTCAGGAAATCAACAGCTATGAAATTACATAAGTTTAGGTACTCCTCTTAACTATTTTCATCTGCTTATTTTTTCAAACTAAATTTTGGAATACTATTGGTAATTTGGCCGGGCATGGTGGTTCATGCCTGTAATCCTAGCACTTTGGGAGGCAGAGGCAGGTGGATCATGAGGTCAGGAGTTCAAGACCAGCCTACCCAACGTAGTGAAACCCCGTGTCTACTTAAAAAAAAAAAAAAAATTAGCCAGGTGTTGTGGCAGGTGCCTATAATCCCAGCTACTTGGGAGGCTGAGGCAAGGAGAATCACCTGAACCTGGGAGGCATGGTTGCAGTGAGCGAAGATCACGCCACTGTACTCCAGCCCGGACGACAGTATGAGACTCCATCTCAAAATGTGTGTGTGTGTGTGTGTGTGTGTGTGTGTGTGTGTGTGTGTGTGTGTGTGTAGAAAATAATCTTGTGGGATTGTTATGATAAGTACACTAAATATACAAATCAATTAAGAAGGCTAATTTTATTCCTATGCAGGAAAATGTATACATCTCCATCTCCTCAAGTTTTCTCGGCATAGCTTTGTAGTTTTTTTCAGAGGCAATTTTTTCAACTGGGCTTTATTTCAAAAAAAAATTGCATGTAAACAAATCTGTATTAAGTCTCAATTACTACTGTAAAAAATTACCCACAAATGTAGCCGCTTAAAACAACATAAATCTGCTCTTACATTTCTGAATGTTAGAAGTTCAACGTGAATCTCACCGGGCTAAAATCAAGGTGTCAGCAGCAGGGCGGCATTTCTTCTGAAGGTTGTAGGGGAGGATCCATTTCCTTTCTTTTTCCAGCTTCTAGTGGCCCACTTTCTTCATCTTCAAAGCCTGCAACGTTGAATCTCTCTGGCTTCTTCTGTGACCACATCTTCCTCTGATTCTCTTTTTCTGCTTTCCTCTCTTTCTTTAAGAGTCCTTGTGATCACATTGGATCCACCTGGATAATCCAGGCTACTAGCTCTATCTCAAAGTCAGCTGATTAGCAAACTTAATTCCATCTGCAACCTTAATTCCTCTTTGCTGTGCAACCTAACATATTGACAAGTACTGGAGATTAGGATATAGACATTTTCCCAGGACCATTACTCTGCCTACCACACCATCTGCATCTAAGTTTAGTTTTTAATTGCAATAACTAGCTCATCACTATTTATTGATACATGTATTGCTCCAATTCTTTTTTTTTTTTTTTGGTGTTCAATAACTTTTATTTTAGAAAATTGTAGTCACTCTCATATATTTTAAATTTTTGTTGTTGTTATTGATACATAAGTAGCTGTACATATTTTGGGGGTGCGTGTGGTAATTTAATACAATCATATAATTTGTAAAAATCAAATCAGTGTAATTGAGACATTAATCACCTGGAATATTGGTCTTCCCTTTATGCTAGAAACATCTGAATTATCTTCTTCCAGTGATTTTGAAATGTACAGTCGATTACTGTAAACTATAATCTACTGATCTATCAAACACAAGGTGTTATTTCTTCTATCAAACTATATATTTACATCCATTAATCAACCTCTCTTCATCCCTCCTCCTCCTATCCTTCCTAGCCTCTGATAATCACCAATCCAATTCCCATAAATTCTGATTTCTATTTTATTTAACACTACTATTTTTCTTAAGTTTTGATATGACACAAATCACGTTTTTATAAAATGTCAGGGAATAGTGTATTTTTACTCCCAGTTATTTCATTCACCTTACTAATAGTAAAAACCATCTAGAAACCTCAAAAGCATTATGTACAAGCTTCAGGTATGGGATGATAGGGAGAAGCTGGATGATTATTTCCTAGAAACTTGTACTCCAACTGTGATCTTTGGACCAGCAGCATGAACATCATCTTCTGGAATCCTGTCAGAAATGCAAAATCTCAGGCCTCAATCCAGACCTACTCTATGGAAACTTGTGTTTTAAAAATGCATCACTGTTATTCAACATAGTACTAGAAGTCTAAGCTAGAGCCATCAGACAAGAGGAAGAAATAAAGGACATCCAAATTGGAATGGAAGTTAAATTATCCTTTTTTGCAGATGATATAATCTTATATTTGGAAAAACCTAAAGGCTCTGCAAAAAAACCTGTTAGAACTAGTAAACAAATTCATTAAAATGGCAGGATAAAAAATTGAACCTACAAAAATCACTAGAATTTCTATGTGCCAACAGTGAATAATGTGAAAAAGAAATCAAAAAAGTAACCCCATTTACTCACAATAGCTACAAATAAACTAAGATACATGGCCAAGTACAGTGGCTCACACCTGTAATCCCAGCGCTTTTGGAGGTCAACACAGGTGGATCACCTAAGGTCAGGAGTTCAAGCCCAGCCTGGCCAATATGGTGAAACCTTGTCTCTACTGAAAATACAAAAATTAGCCAGGTGTAGTTGTTGGTGCCTGTAATCCTGCCTCAGGAAAATTGCTTGAACCCAGGAGGTGGAGATTGTAGTGAGCCGAGATTACGCCACTGCACTCCAGCCTGGCGCCTGATGACAGAGCAAGACTCTGTCTCAAAAAAAAAAAATTAATGGGGAAAGAATCATATCAATGGTCCTGGATCAACTAGATAGATTTAAAAAATAGATAAATAAATCTTAACCTTTATCTCACACCATATGTAAAAAGTAAACTCAAAATGGATTATAGATCTAGAATTTAAACTTAAAACTATAAAATTTCTATAGAAAACATGAGAAAATCTTTGAGACTTTGGGACAGACAAAGATTTCTTAGGACACAAAAAGCATCAACCATAAAAATTTAAAATTTAGTTTAATCAAAATTTAAAATTTCTGCTCTTCAAAATATACCTTTAAGAAAATGAAATGGAAGATATGAAGTGAAAATATTAGTAAGACATATCCAGCAAAGGGTTTGTATGCAAAATATATAATGCAGTGACAACAAACCAAATAAATTAATTAATTAACAAAATAGTTGGACAGACACATCACAAGACAAGATATATGAAGATATAATAAGCAAAAAAGATGTTCGACATTATCAGTCATTAGGGAAATGAAAATTAAAACCATATACTCACTAGAATGCCTCAGATTAAAGACTGATAATACCAATTGTTGGATGTGAAACTCTCATACTTCTGATGAGAATATGAACTCATACAACCCATTTGAAAAACTGTCTTGCAGTTTTTTGCAAAGTCAAACATACATTTACCATGTGATCCAATTCTACATAGGTATTTACTCAAGAAAAGTGAAAGTGTGCCCAAAATAACCTGTATATATACATTTATAGCTAATTTATTGATGGCCATCAAGAACTGGAAACACCCAAATATTCATCAATACATGAAAGAATAAACAAATTCTGTTGTGCCAATGCAATGAAATATTGCTCAACAATAAAAA